GATGGGTCTCTTTGCATTGTTTAAAATGAAGGCTGTGGTTTTCTTTCCTTCTAGAGTCTCCCAGGGCTCTATTTGTTTCCCGGGGCTCCGTCATGTCGTGTTTCACGCAGCTGTGGCACTCCAACACACCGGACTCTCCCACCAGCCCAGTCCCTGCATCTTCAAGTGAAATCCCCATCCCCATCAGCCCCATTGTTGTCACCTCCCCAGGAGATGGCAAGAGGAAGGCGAGGTCCCCAACCGACAAGCCAGGCTCTCCGAACCCAACATCTCCAAAGCCAACCTCCCCTGTTGAGTGCTCCATTTGCTTCAACACCTATGACAACACCTTCAAGACGCCCAAGCTGCTCCAGTGCTCCCACGTTTTCTGCCTGGAGTGCGTGGCCCGCCTGAGCACAGGGCTGCCCCCAAACCAACCAGAGGACCAGCTGCCCTGCCCCTTCTGCAGGCAGCTGACCAGCATCCCTCTGGAAGGTGCCCCAGCACTGGAGACCAGCAAGGAGCTGCTTGCCACGCTGCCCCCTGAACTCCAGCAGGAGAAGGTGCTCTGGATGGAGGGGACCAAGCTGTGCTGCCGTCAGTCATCTGATGACCCTGAGAATCCAGACTCGTGCATCTCCATTGATGTCGCCATGAGCAAGCCAGAAAGTCCAGAGGTCCCCCCGGCGGGCTTAGCTGGGAGGCTGTCCCGCTGTGACATGTGCGATGACTGGAAACGCATAGTCCTGCTCTCCGCATTGATCATCATCCTGTTCTGCATCATTCTGTGGCCAGTCCAGTGCGCCCTGAAGACGGGGAACCTCCGCTGCTTCACAAGGACTGTTGCGATGAGCAGGCCGGAGTATCTTCCCCCTAAACACACCACGGCGGTGACGCCTGTGACACAACTCCCTTTCCCGTAGCAGCGAGACACCCCTCGCTCCCATCCCACAGCGTGCCAGGGAGGCAGGAAGAGGGGCTGCTGCCCTGATGGCATTCCTTGCTTCGCCGGCAGACCCCGTGGCCCGCTCCCCGCGCTCCCTCTGTGCCCGCACTTGAACACTCTCATCCAGCTCCAGCAGCTCTGCTGAAATACTCCTCTGCCAAGCTGCCTCCAGCCCGGGAATGCTCCAAGGAGCTGCCGCAGCATCCTGCTGCCAAACTCTCCATAGAAACCAGAGCCTTGAACGCAACAGGCAGGTTTCTAGGACAGTTTGCCTCGCGTGGCATACGGCCATGTGCTGTCTTGGCCGGATTAACAGATGACGGTGGGTGTAGTTCCTCCAACTCCCTTAGGGAATAAAGGGCTATTTTTGCAAACTGAAGGATCGACATGATTATTCCTAAGAGGAGCTGGGATTGGGAGGGTAAAGACATGTCAAAGTCATATAAGCAGATGAAAATTAACTCTAACCCACATGCTTGAGCCATTTCTGTCGTGTTATACAATGTTGGAGGTGTAAATGCTGCCTCCTGCTGACAAACCAGGGATCTATCACCGCTACCCACCTGAGCTGTTACCATCCTTTGCACAGAATAGAGTAGCCGTTCTACTTGTTTTTCCTAACGTGATGCTTAAAAAAAGAAATATTAAAAAAAAAATCACTCATCCCTACCTGGAAAGTGATTTCGAACACAGGGGGTGATGAGCTCTGTTAGGCACACACGGTGTAACCCTGCCCCTCAAGTTACTTAATCAGCAAACTTCATTCATACTTCTCACAGGCAAACTGTTGCCAAAACAACAAAGTTCCATCTTTGGACAGCTTTACCCTCCTAATTTTAAAGTGTGTCAGTATTAAGACACAGGCCAGTTGCTTACACTATATTTTTATTTCATGCAGTGATCTTCTGACTGATTAACTAAAGTCTTCACGATGAAGGCGGCTTACAATTGAATGTTTTCTACTCAAACAGATGGATGTAAGACAGTATTGTATGCAAATGCCATACGTGTATGCATTAAATTATGTTTTATACAACGCAAGGTGTCAATTTGTAGCAATTACTCCACATTTCCCTTCTTACTTGCAGTTGGAGGTGTTCACTTAGCAGTCTGGAGCCCAGCTGCATTCCCGGGGCACGGTAGCTACACGGCGGGTCCACGTCTGTACTCAGGCCTGTGCATCAGCTGCCCCAGTGTTGTACAATCCTGCACACATGGACAGCTTTATCCTGGAAATTCATACTTACTACCATCTAGGCAGTGTTGTCCCAGGTGCGGCTTCCCTCTGCGTTTACCTGATCTGACCTGAAAAACGAGAAGCTGCAAAGACTGCTCATCTTTTGCTTCCTCCCAGCTGGAAAGACACTTCCAGTCTCCCTTTCCAGAAATTCTAATTTGAAATAGAAAAGGCTGAAGCAACGGCAGAAATAACTCAAGCCTGTTGCTATGCAAAACTTCTGTGGAAAGCTGCTGCGTGTGCTGTATCTGCAACACCTTTGCTGTTCCGCTGCGGGCTGGTATTATCTGTGCCAGCCACACGTCTGCAGAAACTACTCCAGGCACCGTAACAACTTCTGCCAAAGTCATGGGGCTTGACAGGGATTCTCACTTGTACCGTTCTGTGCTTTCCCCCGTGCTTGCCACTGAGAGGATATATAGCTTCACAGCACCAATTTAAGTGTGTTCTTGGAACAAGTGACTCACCAAGACTTAAGGCAGAGAAGGCGCTTCCATTTTACCCAAGGTGCAGTTGGGACTAAGCCCACCAAATAGACACTAGTAGAGATGAAGTGCTTTGTCATTACCTCTTTGTTACCATTCAACTCCCCCGATGAGACCTAAGGGCAGGGGAGAGGAACATAACATCTTCAGCCTCATAAAATCTATTGTTACGGTGGCAGAAGGGCCACAGAGATGTTCTCACGGTTCCAACTGTTCCTAGGAGTCTGTCACAGCATCCTTGTGGGGGCTGTCCCTTTGCACGTCCCCTTCCCACCATGTACTTGGAAACAAAGGTTGGAGGTTTGGGTAACACGCAGCTGAACCTCTCACTCACGCACAGGCAGAAGGAAGATTCAAAGCGAGTGAAAACGGGTCCCGGAACAGTAGCATTTGGCGATGGGAGACACTGGGGATGCCCCATTGTCCACACCAATAGTCACTTTGCCAAAAAGCAAACTACTTAAAAAGAAAGGGGGAAAAAAAAGAAGTCTTGAGAATATTCAACATTTATTAAAAGTGCAATAAAAATAAACAGTTCTCCTGTCCCTGTGACAAGGGACCAGAAAGACCAGCCAGGAAATACAGCCAAGGTATGTCATTGTGCTTTTGTTCAACCCCTTCTGCTCAACACTTGGAGCACCCCAGGCACTAATACCCCAACCACGCAGCAAGTCCATCCAGTTCCAGAGATCCAGGAGATCATCAGCCCCGCGCATGCCCTGGCACCCAGATCCAAGGCTCCTCACAGAGCGCACCTTCGGACACCGATGAATCCTGCAGGAAGGGGTTCTTTGGCAGGACTATTTGCAGGACTGAGGGCTGGAACAGCAGGAAGCACTGGCAGTCACAAGTCAAGACTTATCAACAGAGCTGGAATACTTCACTCAGTGACACACTCGTCTTCACGGCACTGGTCAAGTCACAAACACTCCTACAGCACCCCTACTCAGCAGGCACAACACTTGTATAGTTGCAGGGCGAAAAAGAGGTCATGCAGCAAGGTAATGGCAGAGCTGCATCAAGCTTAGAGGGGCCCAGCTCAAAAAGTTCAGCTCAGATTAGTATCCCAGGCTGTTACTCGCAAGGGGTGGCTAAAAGCACAGCACACAAAGCTGCTTTCCTACTCTTCAGCACCCATCAACTAGGTGGGATTTCACTTAGCTCAGGACTCAGACCCACAGAGTCCAAGACGGAGACGCTCACCTCTGTCTCTCAATTCTGCTATGAAACCCACGTGCAGAGCAGCGAGCAGACTCTCAGGCACACACACGCGCATCTGCTGTGCCACAGCAGCAGGGATTGCTCGGTGTGCTTTGGCAGGGTTGCATAGAAATCTAGAACTGGTACAGCCAAAAGGAAGTATTGAGAAGAAGAATCAGAGGTACAAATACCTGGGTCCAGGCAGTGCTCTCTATTTCTCACCCTCACAGGCAGCAAGGTTACTCCAGGATTTAGTCTAAAAACACTTCTAGCTTAGAAATGATTGACCTAATGAAAACATTAAAGTGTACTAAACATTTTACTAATGCCCTAAGTGGGCAACCCTGGGAAAGCTCCTAAGCAAATAGTAATTTCTGTTCCTTTTAACAATTTGTGTGTAAAAAATAAGAATCTTAAATTAAAAAAAAAAGAAAAAGAACCGAGCCTTGATGCCCTAATGAATGTCCAGAGGCACTTCCACATAAATATCAACCTACTGATACAGGGGAGAAAGGGAGAAGATCCTTCTCATGAATAAGTTAGGTCAAGGCATGTTCTTAAGGCGCAGACTCTGCTTGCTTCTTACAGTCAGCTTCGTTCTTCCTCACTGAATCCCAGGTGCCTGGGGAAGGCAAGACAGGCAAAAAAAAATTGTCCGCGGTTGCAGAAGTTGGAAAGGGTGGACGTAAACACTGTAAAACCTGCGTTCCAAAACAAGAAGGAAGAAGGATGGCATGGTTTATAACTGGGAGAAAAGTGCATTGATAAGGTCACAGAGCTGAGACACTCCCAGCATGTGAAGTCTCTCCTACTTGTTTTCTTACACAGTCACAGACTGCTTCCTGACACAACAGTCCAAAGAGCAGATCTCCCCCCCTCCTCTCTCGGTAACATCGTAAACGTGTTCCCCCATCAGTCCCCCCCATTCCCCCATCCCCTGTAGCCGCTGGCCACAGCTACATCTTTAGGCTCTGCCAAATTTCATCACAGCACCGTGCCTTCCCTGATGCAGGCAGAGCCACAGAGACCTGCATGAGCTGAGCTGAAGACGAGCTGGGTCAAACCAATGTAAACAGCCTGTGGTGACACTCTCAGTTCATCAAGGGAAGCATTCCTACCTGTACAGCCTCCACACAGCTCACCTCCGGCTCCTTTATCGTCCTGTATTACTCATCCCTGAAACCTTTGGGCTTTTGATGTTAAGGTTCTCGTAGACGGAAGCTGATTCATCATCAACTCTGTCAGGAAACAAAGCCTTGTTATTAACAGCCTCGCTGCTCTGGATCTTTTCCCAGAGGCAGGGGGCCAGTGGGAAATGGGTAATGGCCCAGCCACGTTCCCCTCTTCCCTCCCCAGCCTTGTAGATGGGACGACATCGGGTCACCCGCTGTTCTCAATCCCTGTTTTCTCTCCCTCTGGCTGGGTTGCCCTTCCTAGGTTCAAATACAGTTTGGGGATGGAGCCTTGAGCCTTCCTCCACATGTCAGCCTTTCATGGATGCACAGTTCCTGCAGGATGAGCGCATACAGTTCCTGGTATTTCCTACGCTTTCTCTACATACCCGATTGCTCTGGATTTTCCAAAATTCTCCAGAGCCAAGGATATGGGGCACTAGTCGCTAAAGGCCGGGATCTATTTCCTCCTCTCCTTTCCAATGCAGCTGCAGAAGCGCAGCACACAAGCAAGGTGGGCTGCCACCACCACTGCTGACAGCGTGGTGGGATCACCTTTTATTTTTAGCCATTCCCACAGCATAGCCAGCGACCGGTCAGGTTTCAGGTACGGGAAAGGCAGGCTGGCAAAGGATAAATACTGGGGCCTTTGCTCAAGCTGTTCTCGCTCCCGCTGCCGAAGTTCTTAGCCCTGGCGGAGAGACATTCGGCTTACACAGACTGGGCTCGTGGTGAAGGGGGCTGCCCTTTGGCTCTGCCTTTTTCCATCGGAGAGTAGCCGATATTCAAGTAGTCTCGCTCTTTCCTTTTATTTCTCTGAAAGACAAAGCAAAGACAATAAAACCCCGCTCAAAGCAGATACAGAAGAAAGCGTTACAAGATCCCATACGCTGGGGAGCAGCGGGTGCGGGTTTATGTCTGCGTGTTCAGGGCAGTACTTGAGTTCCAGGGAGATGGTGGGAGTGGAAGTGGTGTTTGGCGTGGGCCAAGTTCTGCCCTTGCTTTTCCAACCAAGCGCAACGGGACTCACCTGTTCTTCTTCCAACCTCTTCTGCTCAGCCTCAATGTACTGCTGAACAGCCATGTAAACAAACTTGTACTGTGCCTCTGTCTGCACCATGCCCGAACGCTGCCTGCGTACCATCTGGATAGTTTTGGGGATGTCGATATCGCAGTCCAAACCTGATCAAGAGGGAGAAAGTGAGGTTTAGGGAGTGGGAATTAGGTTGAAAAATTATTTTCTTAAGACAACTTTGAAAGCTTTCAGTATTTCACTAAATACAGTGTCAGTGAAGCCCTGGAATATCGTGAAAGGATTTGGTGCATCTCTGTGCCCAGGAGATTTTTAAAAATCTTTTTTTTTTTTTTTTTCCTTCCCCTGCCAGAGCACCTCAGACTGAGAATGGCTGAGGCAGGGCTGACTTGCATGGAGCAAGGGGAGCGGGAATTAGGTCTGTTCTGCAGACACTTCCTACAGATCCAGACTCACCACCCTTGCATGGTTTATGAAATAGAAACCACCATTGCTGAAGAGGGTGCACCTGCCTAAGCCCATGCCCACTGTTTCCCAGACAAGTCAAACCTACTGCCTGGAGATCACGTACGCACTGCTTGCTCAAGAGCAGGGTTATCCCATAACTGGTCAGAGCAAGGCAAACGGTGAAAGCCACAAGATAGACAGGGAGACATACCTTGCCTGTGAATAATATCCACCAGAATGTCTATCACTATGATGGTGCCTGTGCGTCCAATTCCAGCACTGGAAAGAGAAAAGAAAGAAATCATTGCAGGAGGAAACATTCCCCAGAGTTAGCTCAGCTCCAACACCTGTCTGCATGCCTGGTCCATCCTGGGCAGATTTGGAAGAGGTTTTTACCTGCAGTGCACTATGATCGGCCCCGTGTCTGGAATGCTTCGCTGTGCCCGATTGACTTGGTCCAGAAAGCTCAGAACCCCTCCTGGTTCATTGGGCACCCCGTGGTCTGGCCAGCTAAAATACTGATAGTGCTTCACCAGTCTCGGGCGCTCATCCTGCGGGGAGCAGAGACTCACCACCTAGTCAGAAAACCCCACCTACCAGGGGGCTTCCTCCTTTCTTTTTATCAAAGCTGGGGCAAAACAGTCCAGAACTTAGGCAGTGAGACCATTAAGTAAAAAAAAAACAAATGGAGAGGCCACAGGTCCCTCCCCGGGGGTTCCAGCACCAGCCCTTTCCCAGCACCACGGGCAGACAGCAGCAGAGCACTCACCCGGTCGGTCCGCAAGATCTCCAGCTCCCGAAGGTAGTAGCCCTGGGCCTCACGTTCGCTCACGTTTCGCACACAGATGCACCCGTATTCCTTGGTGCAACCCTTGTCTGGCCAGTAACGGAAGCATTTGTTCTACAGAAATATCAGATATCTGCTCATTAGTCAAGACCGAGGAGCTGGAGGAGGAACCCCTGAACACCTTGCTCAGGGATGCTGCTGCATTCAAAGGGTGTGCAGCCCCAGCGTAGAGGTTTAAAGGAGAGCCATACACACAGAGCGTTTCCTTTGAACTGGGGACGTACCAGAAAGGGCCATTCCTGTTTTCTATATGAAGGATGCGATCCCTAGGGGAACCTCTATCCTGAGCTCGCCCCAGCCTCAGGTAGGCATTGCTTTGTCTTGACACACAGCACCTGAGCTGTTGGTCTGGTCATTGCCTAACTCCTGAGCCAAATCTCCATCCCAGGGGGCTATGTAGTCTGCCTACACCCCTCCTGCCCTCCAGCCCATCCCCTCTTTGCTACAGTGACTTCACCAACACAGAAGGCGGCTTGCGAGGAGAGCTGTCTTTATCTCATCTCGGCACTAGGCTGCCTCAAGCACAGCCTCCCCCTCCTCCCTAAGCAAAACTGCTAGTGCCAGTCATCATTACCTTCTCTCTTTACTAGGGAAGGCTGCTCCAGTAAATGGCTCTGCATAGTATTTCACTATGTTCTTTGGCTTCTACCACCCCACTCTTAGTGAAACGCATACAGGTGGTACACAGACAGGTTGTATAATTACTTTTGCCCCTCGCACAATCAGCTCGCAATGCCCCCTCCTCCGCTTTCCAGCTTGGCCGTAACAAGCACGATGCTTTCTCTCTCTCTGCCACCACAATTCCCCAGAGCCTTGAATCAAGTCATATGAGGGACACTCCATTAATATTTATGGGGCTGGGGAGATAGGCTGTGCAGAGCAAAGTAGGCTGTTTCTTTCATGAAGAAGAGCTAAAGCAACATTACAAGACAGAAGAGAAATGAAATGAAAGCTGGCCAGAGATAACTTAATTAAACACTATTAGGACAAGCAGCTTCCTAGGGGTTATGCTTTGTCATGGTCAGAGCAAAGTCAGGCTCTCTAAATCTATGGAACATCTCTCAAGCATCCCAGCCCTGTCCAAGCCATTCCCGTGTGGAAAACAGCACAGATTTGCAATACAGTCCATTCTGAAATGGGGATTTGTCACTTGAATCCCTGTCATTATGGACAAGGACCTGCAATTGTCCAGGCAGGATAATACATTTAGGTCAACTGCTCAGGATTAGTTCATTACTGATTCTGCTTCACATTTTAATACACACCCCCAGTAACTACCCAGCTTGGTGCACACAGCGGTTGCTGCATCAGCCTCTCAGTTTGGAAGGTCTGGCTTTAGAACTAGTTCTTGTATCCAACCAAAGAGGCTGGCACAAGCAGCAGGTAACATTCAGGCTTGGGGACAGCGCCCTACAAGTGCTCACCCTGCCCCGCTCCACCTCCTTGGTTGTCATGACAATGACGTGACTGTTCTCTTGATACACCATGGCCCAGAAGTCATTCACTGTTGTCTGCAGGCAGCCCTGGGTGGCTATATAGATCTTGCAGTGCTCCGAGTTCCTTCCATCTTCAGGGATGCTCTGAGGAGCAAAGGAGGGGGGGGCGGAAAAGGCCAATGACACTGGAGTGAGGAATTGGGAATTGCTTTAGTGCACCTTTAGCAGCAAAGTCAGTGCATCTTGCCGTGCTGGATTTCTGAGCTAGCTGATTTTCCTCTGTTCATCAGACCGGCTTCAACAGTCACCAGCAAAATAGTCTGCCTGCCTCCAGAGACCTTCGTACCGCTGTAACGTGCATTACTGCGCAACAGACTCTTGCCAGCAGACAAGATTGCAGGTGGATGTGGTTGGAACGAAGCCACCTTGACGGTTTCCCAAAGGCTGGTGCTTAAGTGCCAGAGCAGCATTGCTGGAAATACAGCTTCAAGTAGGCCTTAGCTTACAGATGACAATTATAATTAGACGTCAGAGATAATGGTCAATGACAGAAAGTCTGGGTCAGTCCCCTAGGACCTCCTGAACAGCTATGAAAAAGAGGGGATTGAGATAAGCTCTTAGATAAGGGCCATGGTAGAATGATGAAATCCCTTGGGATACAGTAGAAAAATCCAGCCTTTGGCATGGACCCAGCGAAAGATACTGGTCCTGACGGGCCATTCCCTGGAGACTTACACCATCACTGCCCTTACCCACCAGAAACACAGCGCTGGGCTGCAGACAGCCCCCACGTGGTGCCTTCCCTTCCCCACGTACCTTGATATAGTTGGCATTGATGTAGTCTGACCCAGGCACGCTCTCATCTACGTCTCGGAGTGCCACCCGTGTGGTATCAACTGAAGGAGAACAGAGTCCAGAATGAACACAGGAGCGAGTCACGCACACAGGAGCACGGACGGGCTTTGCTGCAGGGCAGTCACAGCGGCTCCCAGCCCGGGCTCCCACAAGGCTCTTGCTATGAAGTCACATGGGTAACGACGGCAAAGAGAGGGTAAAATGCTCTCCTAACGACACTCAGCAGGAGTCCACGCTACCTGTCCCACAGCTATGTTGTCAATCTAGTAACTTGGATGGATATCAGTGATACACCGTGTTGCAGACTGACCTGAGCTCAAGCTTTCCAGTATTTCCTTTGGAGGCTCTAGCTCAGGCTCCACATGGCTTTTGAACTACACTTGAGCTCTGAAGCATATTTGGACTCACACACAAAGAGAGGAGAGCGATTTACCAGTTTCCCACGCAAAAGGGAAGGACCAGGTTAGACAGGGGATGGAGAAGGCCATGAACTAAGTGGACCACTTTTCAACTCAGCTACGATCGGAAAGCTCTGCAGTGTTAACTAGCCCCAGAGAAGGTTGCAGAAATTGTGGTGAGAAAAACCAAACCAGTATTCAGTGTCTCCTTACAGGGAAGGATGTTCTTGTAGCGATTCTTAGCCTTATTCTCTGGTCGCTGTCCCTCCTTCCTGGGGTAGAGGAGCTTGCACTCTTGCTGCTGCAGCATCTGCGGAGCAGAGAACACAAGAACAAACTGTTCTGGGCAGATAAGGGGAGTCAGAGGCAAAGGAAGGGCTCTTTTGCCTAGCTGCTTGGCTTCCTAATGCTGAGAAGAGCGGAGGGAGTGCAGGCAGGAAGGGAAAGGGAGCCAAGAAGCAGCTTGATGAGAGAGTTAATGGGGGATAAAGCACAAATCCCTGCAGGGAACAAAAGGCATGCAGTTCTAGGATGAGGAAGGAGAAACTGCCTCAGACATGAGAAAAAACAATGAAAAAAAAGGACCAAGAAGTAACTCAGTTGAACGTGGAAAACAGGGAAAGGACGAGCAGTATTGCAAAGAGGTCCTCAGTGCTGGAAAACCACGACACTCCCATGCAAATATGATATTCTTCACCCACAGGCACAAGTGGGACAGAACACAGGAGCATTCTGTACCTCAAACTCTTCCCAGAACCCCTGCTTGGCCTTCTCACTGTGATCTGCCATTTTGTTCAGCTCCTTCACTCTGTTTTCAATGTTAGCTGCGTTGATGCGCGTGGCATTGAATGGCTGAAAGACAAAGACAGAATAGAAATCACTTTCAATAACAGAAAGACAGATAAAACTTTCCCCTTGAGAAGAACAGTTCCTGAATCCCTGGGGGTGCTGGCAGGAGTTGGGTTCATTCCTGAGGCATTGGCTGTGAGGCCAGGGATGTTCTGGGGGCAGGGAGTTCCCAAAGAGCAGGGGCAGATCTGCGCACTCCCCCAGGAGCGTGGGCAAGCCCAGAACCAACAAATATGTGCTAGAGCAGCTATTACCTGCTTCAGATGAACCACAGCTCCAGATTTCTCCACCATGGGGTTTTTCTTATAGTGTTCCACCAGGTCCGTGAGCGTGTCAAACCTCTCTCCTCCCCCCACGTCATACTTCCCGTCTGGCTGCAGGAGAGAATGGCAAAACCACAGTGAGACTCGAATGCACAGCTCCCAGCTGGTCACCCACCTCAGGGTGAGCAAGGACAGCACGTTTCCCACCTGGTAGTGGATCATCACGTGGGTCACGTGTGGTTTCCGGTCCCCAGTGTCCATCTTATCCTCATTTGTCATCACCGACAACACAAAGTCTCCTGGTTTGCTCTGGCTCTCTCGCACCAGAAAGCTACCTGTTTTCCCCTTCTCCGTCAGAAGCTTCTCTGCCTCCTTGCCAGTGAGGTGCCCATGGTACCACCTACGGAGCAGCCATGGAGAGCAAGGTCAGCTCAGAAACGTACAGAGCGCTGCCTTCAGACATCAGCTACGCTCACTGCCGGGAATGGTGTTCACGGGAAACCCATTTCTAGGCTCCCAATCTGATTGCTCGACCCACTGGCACGACACCGGCTTGAATTATTTTAGAAATAGCCCGCAGTGATTTTCCTCCAACACTTTCCTGTGTCACATCTATCCCTGGAAGCATCGGGACTTTGCTCAATCCTCCAGTCACATGCGAAATGGCATCAGTATATTAAACTGCCATGTGATGTAAGACAAGCACTGTCATCTAGGGATAGGGCTCTGATGAAGCTATAAAAACCACGATTCTGGCAGTTCTTACTTGAAGGTGGCTATGTCTTCCTTTATTTTTAATAAGGAAGAAAAAGAACGCTTGGAGTCAGCAGGCTGTAGTCAGACAGTATCAGACACACGCATGGACAATACTGACCAGGAACAAGAGGTTTTGATGCAGTTTGGGAAGGATTCTCAGGAGGGTTCTCCTAGCTATAGTCACTGCTGCTCCCCTCCCTCCCAGGTCACCAACCCCAGCTCAGGTCTGGCTGAGGGAGAACAGAAGCACCCTGCACGTTCGCCTGGAGCGGCAAAACCAAGTTCCCCACTGCGCCCAGGAGGCTTCTCCCCCTCCAGCCCTGCCTGCAGCCATGTCTCTGGCCAGTAGCGATCACAACGCGCAGAGGTTTGTGCTCAGCTCTTCCCAAGCCTCGCTGCGCGGGCATGAGTTGCCCCACCTCTCTGCGTACACCTTGCATGCACGTGTCCCTGTTTCTCCATCTAATCTCTCATAATCCTTTCTCCTGGTCTGCTGACACACTTACGCTGCAGCCCCAGTGAAACGCAGGCTATCTTTGAACCGGCTCGGTCAGAAGCCCGTAGCAGCCTTACCACGATGCCTTGGGGTTAAGCGCACAACAATCTACCCGTTCCTGGGTATCCCCTGTGCAACTCGAACGGCAGCACCGTTGCGCCAGCTCACCTGGCCATTGCTGCGTGCAAGGCAGCGTGTCTCACCTACCCGCACCGCGGCTATCCAGGGCGGGCACGCCTCCCGGGCTAGCACTCTGCTACAGCCTCCCATGGATACAAATAACACTTTGGAGGGAAGCAGAGTTTCTTTTTGCCTTGGAGCCTTTGATCCCCACGCTCCATCGACACTCAGCAGCGGCTCTGGCAGATGCCACAGGTCCCACTTTGAAGACGCTGGCTCCTGGCCTGCCAGCCAAGATGCCAGGAATTCAGAGAGGCTCAAAATAACCTTCCAGGGGCGATGCAATGGCATCACGTCACGTCTCAGCAACTTTGTCCCACAGGACGATGTTTATAGAACAGCAGTCAGTGATGCTGGGCCTTTCGAGTCCCGACTCAGCATGCTGCAAAGGCAGCCACTTCAAGCCTGACTGGGAAGACCTCTAAAGATCCAGACTCCTTCCTGCAGGGTTGAGAAGGCGTTAGGATCACGGGGCTGCCCGAGCCGTGCTGCTGCAGAGGGCAGGATGGCCCACCCCTGGTGAAGTACCTCAGAGCCTGCTTACAGCACTGCTGCTACTCAGGTCCGGGCCTTGGAAACACACCTACCCTGACGGATCCCGCTATATTCTAACACCATCGTCATTTGGTATATTTAGAGGACTTGGACCTTTTTCCTCCCTTCTTCCTGATGCCACCAGTTGTGTGGTCTGGAGCAGAAATCTTTACGGAGCTTCCTTGCCAAGCCAGACTTTCCTTGGCGGGAAAAGAAGGGGAAACCCAGCTGAAGGGGGTTTCCATTTTTCCAGAGCTTCTGCTAACGTGAGCGGCTGCTTTTCACGCTGCGATCTGGAATGAGCAAAGAAACCTCTCTGGCTACAAGGGAGCACATGAGCTGCAGGGACTTCCCCGCACCTTGGCCCAGCTGACTCACATGATGGCGTGGAGGGGAGCATCTCTGCTCCATTTCAGGAACCGAGACTAGTCACAGCTTCGTCTTACCCTGGCTGCTAAAGTTAGAGTAATTAGGAGCCTGCTTTGGCATCGCCAGCCGCCTGACTAGGCGTTCCCCTTTCCAACCCACCATGTCAGCTGCTGCGTGTGACACGGGGGAAACTGAGGGGGAGGAAAAGGAAAAAAAGGGGTCACTGGAGTGTCACAGACAAAGGGGAGGAAAGAAGGTCGCTAATCGGCTGGTGGAAACATCCTGAAGTAGCCTGAGGTAAGCCGCTCCTCACAGCAAGTCAGCCATCCCCATCCCTGCAAGACAACAGCGTGCTGCTACCAGGATCAACGGTGGTGACGGACTGAGGTGGGATGGGGAAGACTTTTTACAGGGCATTTCTACCCAACGTTCTGCAGGCAGACAAGTCACATGCAGGTGGTTTGTGTCGTTTAAAACCAAAGCTGCGTGCCTCCTGGGATACACCTGCAGGACCCTTGGCAGATGGGCTCATACTGCGTATGTTGGATGGTGCTCTGAGCAACCTCATCTAGTTGAAGATGTCCCTGCTCATTGCAGGGGTGGTTGGACCAGGCAACCTTTAAAGGTCCCTTCCAACCGAAACTATTCTATGATTCTGTGTTCCCGGTTGCCTAAAAGCTACAGAAAGCTTATTAGCACATGCTGACACTGAGCAAGTATCAGCTTCTGGGCCTTGCTAATGTCACCTAGCCAGCGTCTGGTCACGTCTGCACACAGAGCAGCTAGGGAACCATATCCCAGAGATGTGCAGCTTTTGGGTCGGGTCAACAAAAGCTAAAATCACACCCAAAACGCATTCTGTTTCGGGCTCCTTTCCAAACCCAGCCTAGGTGCAGCTGGCCAGTCTGAGCTGTCTGGGCAGACAGCGTCACACCACCGGATGAGGCTGTTGGACAGTGTGGCTTACCTCTCCGAGGTGGGGTCCTGGCAGTTGAGCGGGTACTTCAGCTCGATGACATTGCTGTTCTTCTCCCGCAGCAGCCCCTGCTGCTCGGTGTAGTACTGCACCAGCTCTGCGAGGGTGGCGAACTTCTCACCTCCATACAGGTCATAGTAATCCCCTGTGTTCTGGATCTTAATGTGCGTCACCTCATCGTTTCTTCTGAGGAAGGAAGGTGAACAAGAGTCTAAGCATGAGAGAACGGAAACCCAGCACTGGCCTTCAGAGCCTAGATGCCTCCTGAACACCACCTCCCTCTAAAGCTGCACCACATGCTCTCTGGTCACTCGCTGCTCATGCTGGCCATGCTTCTACAGTAGGGGAAGGGATGGATGCTCCTTGGCCAAGGTTACTCAGCCAAGAACTGACTCTGTACCATGCCAGCTCCCAGCCCACTCTGCTTCCCAGCCCACCTCACACAGAGGAGATGAGTAATTCCTCCTCTGCCATCCCTTGCACTTCCTACACTACTGACCCTCTCAGCTGGATCAGGCTCTGACCTCACTCTGGTTTACAGTGAACAGTCTTCTATGCACAGAGGTACTCACTATCATCTAATTAGTTTAAAAAACAACAGGGGAAAAAAAATTAAAAAAAATCACCCAAACCAATGTATTGCCTGATATTTGCAAACCCCGTACTGAAAGGGTTAACGCTTTCCTCTCTCCAGTGGTGCCATCCAGGCTCAAGGGAATATGGCTGGGTGCCTTCATCAGCCGGTTCCAAGAGCCCCCTCAACCCAGCAAAGCCCAGTCTCCATCCTCAGAAGGCCACACGAACCTCCGAGAGGCAGGGTAATTGCATTTTAAACGCACTTAGTAGGAGACATGGCTGGAAGCCCGTTGCTTGATGGATGAGCTGGGTCAGAGAGATTCGTAAATCCAGGCAAATTTCTTGTTCTTTACCGTCCTGAGCTGCTCCCAGCCTCTCTCAATTTGTTGCCAAAGCAACCGTGACAGTGAGATGCAGGAGACTCAAGGCAGTATAAGCAACATACCAGGTCAGACAGAAAAGCCATTTCACGGAGCGGGGAATTGGAAAAACTACAGTGGTCTGTGCATGAGGTTAAATGGAAGGAAGAGCTGGACCATGGCAGAGGCTCTGGAGCTCTCAGTAGAAGTTCTGCCCCCATCTCTGTGATCTTCCTGCAGCAGGGTCCAGCCTCCGTAGCAATGCAGTGAAAGACCAAATACCTGGATGGTATTGGATATCCAGCTCCACCTCCACAAAATCATCTCCTGTTTAGCTTTCCTGGGCTGTAGGTACTGCCTACCTCAGAGTCCGGACCCTACCTCTTGATTTCAGAGGCAGGTTAAGATCTGGCCCTCAAATGCGAGCGGCAGCAAGAGGCTGTGTCTGCCTTAGGGCATCCTGGTGCAGCTGCAGGAACAGGGCTGTGCCAGCTGGATGCGCGTATCACACCTGGCTCCTCCCTGGTACCTCCTCTCGAATACTGCATTGAATCTGCACTAGATGGAAATGAAAACTGGCTGTGGAATTCAGCTCCCAGCCAGCGCTCCGATGACAATGCTGCTTCTCCGAGAGGAGCTGGCGCATGAAGCGCTTCTGCCAGTCACGCCAGCAGCTGGACGTGAAGAGCCTTTGTGCGCACAGACGGCAGCAGACAAAACTGTGGTTTTGCCACTCGGCCTGAGGCTCAAAAGCTCCCTTCTTTCCACAGCTCCGTCCCCACATCCCAACCCCATTACAGACCTACAAAGGCTCAGTTCACAGGCTCGCCCGCTGCCCCCAAGGCCTCTGAGCACTGCAGGGATGAAAAGCAGAGAGATAATCAGGGTCATTTATCCCATGAGCCCTCAAGGTCATGCTAAACACAAAGGGCATTGATCGATCCCAATTTCCTTCCCATTTTCTTCTCTTAAAGCTTGCGTCACCTCTGCAGTTCCAAACCGGGCAGCAGAACCGGACTGTACAGTCACAGCATCCATCAAACTGTGCCCTCGTCATGCTGGCTGGTGAAATAAAGCACAAAGAAGATGGCCAAAGCCCTCAGCTGCCCTGTGCCGGAGGGCACGGCTCCTTCTGACTAACAGACACACAGCTCTCAGAGGGATGCAGCACTGTTTAATAGCAGATGCCAGCTTTTTTAGCAGCTTCAGAGTCAGCAGTCGGACGAGCGAGAGTTGCCTCCGTTCCAAGCTAAGCTTCTCTGCGCTATCAGCACAAGTCCTTAACTAGATATCCAGGAGGGTTTCTCGATCCAAAATATTCCAGCTTGTGAATCTGTGTCCATGCTGCAGTGACCACCAGCATAGATGCAGTCTGCTCTTCTTCGCAACAGAGCGCAGTCAATAAGAGGAGGACTCACAAAAAAACCAAACAGACCCTTTTTTGGCTCCGGAAGGCAGAACCACCACTTTAAATGTCAGAAATACATTTGCCTGTTGCATCCCCAAAAGTCTTTTTAGGTCATGTGCTTTTCCTGCCTGTGTCAGACAGAAAGCCTAGAACTTCACAGCATGCATATAGACCCTTCTGACAAGCTGCAAAAAGCAACCCAAAAAACCCCAGAGGTTCATTATGGAAAAAACACGAAGATGCTCCCACAGGGTTTAAAAACTTCACTGAATGTTTGGTTTCAATTAAATGAGAACTTGGGCTCTCAGAGAAACTCACTATCCACCAATACAACACAATAAAACCAACGGACGTTTGCACGAAATTTCAAAGATACAACCGAGTGAATTCCAGAGATTAGGTATGGGTTTCGAGGTCTTCATGCTTGATTCCTAGGAAGAAGCAATTCAGCCGACTGCCTGAGCCCTACGGCTCACTGTAGGTGTTAGGAGCTCTGGAAAGTGCATTGGGGAGATCAAGGACATCCAGCTACTCAGTGAAGCCACACATTGTTGCTGTTTCCCTATGGGGCATTTACGCTTTTTGCATTCCTGAAGGTGCTTCCTGCTCCAAAGAGACCCAGCCTTTTGTCCTGGGAAGGGATATGAAGCACAGACCACTTGCCAACCGGCTGCCATCGAAAGGAGAGGTAGGCTGAGTTACAGAGCCTTAGTAGGGCTGGTAGGTGCTATTGTGGTGAGACACAAGGACAACTGTTTTAGAAAAGAGCCTCTTCCAAGTCTCCTTCCATTCTTCTCCAGATCCAACTTTCTTCCTGTGCTGCAACTCAACTGATCTAACACACCTGTAGTATTGATTTACTCCTTTTCACAGAGTATGTGTTCTATAGGACATAAAATCCTCCTCGATTGCATGTCTTAACTTGTACCCAGAGTGTATTTGTACACACCTTCTGGGGAAAAAAAAAAAATTAAAAAAATCAGTTACACACAGAAATGCTCAATGGAAGTGCGAATAGGGAAACCACTCTGGGAGACTGTAGCTCTGACAAGAGTTTGTTACCCAGAAGCACTTTGTACTGCATCCCACGAAGGAGGATAAAATCTGTTCCTATAAAACGTGACCCAATTACCCCATTAACAGGGTCTCTGACTGATGGTTCTTAACTGTTTTGGCATTTGTGTTACTGCGTGACCACAGGCCAAGCACCACTTAGGCAAATTTTCAACAGCCTTTTCCTTTTGTTCAAGCTATTTACCCAAACCTGGCCAAATCGGTAAGAAGCTCTTCACTTTCTTCAGAAGCAATTCTAAATACTTGGTCTTCTGAAAACACGCTCTGGCAGATCCAGGCAAGCACTGAAGGCATTTCCTGCGTGGCCTCCCATATTTCTCCCCCAAGAGCCCTCGCTTTCAAAAGGAGGTCTATTTTCTTAAGAATCAGGATTAAAATTTGGAAGACTCAATATCAAAACCAAACCCATTACCAGGTCCTTCTAGGAAAGGAGATGTGCCATAGCACACGTGAAAGGCAAGGCAGCTTTTGTAACAGCCACCCATCAGAACTGTAACATGCAAATAAACTCTACTCGCATCCTCCAAAAATCCCCTAGCTAGCGGCTCTGCTCCCACCATCCAGAACAGCTTCCACAGCTCTCCTGCAAAGCCCAGCTCCATCTTACAGCATCGCCCCGCACAGTCCCATTCGGTGCAGGTTTTGTGAGCCACTCTAAAGAAAGCATCGCGTGTTGGAGTGCTGTCGTTACCTTCGGCAAATACTAGCGCTCACAGCTTGCAGGAGCCGATCCCTGCAATAAGGAGTATCACCCACATTAAGTGACCCACTGGTACAGAGCTGTCTTATTGTCTGGGTTGAGGCAACACCGAAATACCTGCAGAGAGCAGTGCTGCAGCAACTGCGTGGAACAGAACAAGACAGCTCACATACAGACACAGCGGATATTACTACAGCCTTACTCATAATGACTCTCCGTCATCACTACACTTCAGCTGAAGTTGCCAGACCACTTTCCTCCCCACTGATGTGCTCCGCATATTTGCTGAAGTGCCCAAAGAATAAGATGAGCCAATAAATCCGAATTCAACAGCTAGTACTGACATACCACCAGCACACCAAACAAAGACTTCTCGGAAACACAGCCCTCTTGGCACTGGACTACGGCAGGTGTGTCTGATCCTCTGGGCTGAACAAGCTCTTGGACCTGTCTGCAGAGACATCCCAAGAAGGAGCATGAGCTGATGAAAGGAGCCAGGTTTGGCTGCCAACAGTTTGCACTCAGAGCTGAGGGTTTTTTGAAGAGGTTTTTTTTTCTATTATTTTTAAGACCAGGACAAACATTGTCAGTTCATTAACCATATCACATCCTCTCCATGTGGCTTGCCTCTTTCTCTTAAGAGCTGAAAAAACAAAGCCCTGTGAGGACTTGTTGCTGTAATGGTAAAGGCTGAAAGAGCGCACGGAGGTACAGAAAGAAAGGGAAAGCAGCCACAGAGTTTCATGGAAACCTTCTCATAACTTCTGCAATATTATTTCCTAGCTTCTCTTCAGGGACACATATCTGGATACACACCAGCACACGGTCACTTGGTGTGTGGTCTGGTCAGCCAAAACTCCATCGCCTGCTTTCTTCACAGCCTGCATCCTCTCTGTAATTAAATAGAGCTGCCTTTCCTCTCACCAGCTTTCTAAAACCCTTGAAGAAGCTGAAGGGGGGTTGAAAGGAGGAGGAAGAGGTTTTGATTGTTTTCCTAAAGGTACTTTCTCCTACTGACACCTCTATTTTAGGTATTTTTTGAAAGACATCTGTATTATTTCCTTTGAAAACCTTTTATTTCTCAGAAAAACTATACAGCCTTGTCCAGTTTAGAGATTAAAAAAACCAAACAAAAACCAAACAAAACCACAACAAACCAACAACTAAAAAACCCCTGTCAGGATACAACACATTTGTGTGTGTGTAACATAACAGGGAAAGGGGAAACACACAGGGGGAAGACAGCCGCTCAAGTTTTCAGCTTTCAGGCCACATAAAGCTACTCATTCTATTAGGTGTTGCAGCTCTAATTCCCAAGAATGTTTATGTACATGTTTTGGGGCCATCATCAGTGGGAAAAGAGCATATTGTTCAGATGAAGTATAAGCAAAACTGGTCTACCCAACCAGGAACCATGTCCAAGCAAATTTTCCATACCTGAGACTATAGGACAACCCTTGCCTCAAGTCATGGACTAGAGCTGGGATGAGCCAGGAAGGAGCAAGGACTTGCAGGTAAAAAAAGCAGTCAATGAAAGAATTCTTTCCTTGTCTTCAATTCGTGATGCCTCAAAACTCAACACATTGCCTCTAAGCTCGTGTGTCATGTTTAATGTTCTTTCCTGGAAACATGGTATGTGTCACAGCTTTGGTTTACTCAGATCTGTGAGAGCTGGTCAGACTTTCCACTGAGTGGGTGTCAGCGGGTGGCGGTGGTATTGTTCAATACCATGATATTAAGGCATGCTGTATTGCTCTGCTCTTAACTCGCATCTCATTACTGCGGGGCACTATTCGTGCATTAGAGACATGAATTGGCTCGATCTTATGGCCAAAACCGTACTGTTGTTATCAGGCATTTACTGCAACACAAGGGTCTCCCTGCAGCAGAACGTGGACTAAGCCCCCTCTGATAATCTGACACTCTCTGCCACAGAGAAAGCAGAAAGGGGTAAAGAAATAAAAGCGATAATAAAACTGCTCTGGGAGTCCATAGCCAGCCGAGGCCAAGCTTTTATCCGCTCAGTCTCAACACGTGCCACAGCTGGAAGAGGGGAGGCAGCTGACCCGCACAGCTGGAAGGGAACAAACCACAACAGCAGAAACGCACGCGGCCTCTGGCTGAGGCACAGGGACAGAGCTAAGGGAAGAAAACTATGCAAACGTGTGGACGGACCCCACAGCACAAGGCACGAGTGCAATAATGCAGGTGTGGGAACTGGCTCTCCTGGCAAGGCACTTTCCCTGCTGTTTCAGGGTAATTATGCTGCCAGCTGGGTATCTTTCCACATCAGGACACTGTTGCACAGCCGTAACCTGCATCTGCTTGCACACTGCCTGGCTAAGCGGGTGCTGTCAGTACTTCGCTTTACGATCAGACAACACCCTGACTCACAAAATTACCTGAGAAGAGGCTCTAAGCTCACATGAAGATAACCCCCCCACCCCCCCTTTCCACCATATTTCCCT